GCCCATCCAAAGTGACAACTCTTTACATAATCAAGTCGGGCTATTTCCTGCATAAATCCAGGTTTTCTCACATCCCCCCCACCCCCATACACACACAAACTCACTCTCCTGCTGGTAATAGCTCATCTAAACTGACCACTCTCCAAGTTTAAATCTAAGTTAAACCAGAACATCTGGGGGGGGGTAGGAAAAAACAAGAGGAAACAGGCTACCTTGCATAATGACTTAGCCACTCCCAGTCTCTATTTAAGCCTAAATTAATAGTATCCAATTTGCAAATGAATTCCAATTCAGCAGTTTCTCGCTGGAGTCTGGATTTGAAGTTTTTTTGTTTTAAGATAGCGACCTTCATGTCTGTGATTGCGTGACCAGAGAGATTGAAGTGTTCTCCGACTGATTTATGAATGTTATAATTCTTGACATCTGGGTGTGAACATTGTTTTTTCTTTTTCAAAACTGTTTGTTTTTCAGGTTTTTTTTTTTTTTTAACATTAGCAATTGAGGTCCTGTCTACCTTGCAAGAGTTACAGCCTTGCCTACACTAGAGAATTTTACAAAAAAAAAATTAAATAAAAATCCCACCAGTAGCATTGGTGGGAACCTAAGTGTAGCTAAGTTTCCAATAGCTTCTGGCAGAATTTCCATTGCATTGTTTTGACTCAGTAAATCCTGAAAGTGGCCCCAGTTAAATGCGTTCTGTCATAGACATTGTAGTAAAATGTCTTCTCTGTCCATAGTAAAATGTATTTGTCATCAAATGCTCTGGTAAAAAAATATCATTGTAAAATATGTAACTAAATACTAAATTCACCGCATACTCTGTATTGGAGATATTAGGACCAATTCTCCATTGTCCTGCACTACACGTAGTCGCACACCTGTGCAAAGTGGATGCAATATGCCACCAAAACAAAATGTTTTACACTCTCTTTGTACAGGTGCAAATAACTTCACAAGGAACAAGACAGTGGAGAGTGAAGCCCTATATATAAAATGTATTCAGTAGTATTAAAGTCTGAGAATCCTAACTGCATAAAAGCAATAACATATTTCAAAATAGGTCATTTTAAAATGGTTCCCACTTTTAGCTTATTCAACAGAATCACTTAAAACTTTCCAAAACATTTTATCTGGACCACTTTAGTAACATATGTGAGTTTGGGGTGGGAACAATAGACATAAGATGACCCACCAATAAAAATAAATATCTGTAACATACAACCAAGAAAAAACAAACCCTAAACAGAAGGGAGAGAGCCAGAGAGTCCTTGATTTCCATTAGCGAAGTTGCTATTTTTATTGATTTTTACATAGAAGGTACTCAGCTACTATGGCAATGCACAGCAGTATGTGTCACATAGATGGATTCCTTCAGCAAAGTATTACACACATGCTTAGGTATATGCTTTACTTCCATTAACTTCAATGGGACTTCAGCACATTAATTTTGCTGACATTGGGTGTTAGTGACAGCAGTTTGTCCATTTACAACGACTTGTATGTTTGGGACATATGGAAGTTGAGACCTGTGGGCATGGTGGGGAAGTGAGAAATTTCTGTTCTAAACTAGTCATTCCCTGACTAATCATTATTCAATGGCTTCCCATTCCCCCAGGAAATGCAGTTTTCTCTCCTCTTCTATATATATATATTTTTTACTGTGGTAAGTGTATTAAGGCATTATTTACTTTGTTCTGCAGAGTAGAGACCTTGATGTGACTTTCCATCTGCCTGTCCTAAGTATTTTGCAAATGAAGCATTGGTGAAGAAAACAAAAAACTGAGAAGGGAGAAATAATATAGACTGAATGTTAATTAATTATGTGTTAGGAAGCTATCTTAGGCCCTGATCCTACAACTTGATCAAGCAGGATGGATCTCTGACTTTAGTGGGGCTCTAGTTGGGTGTAGGAAGTCACATGCACGATATAATTTGCAAGACCAGTGTGAACTTGCTTTTCCAAAACACTCTACCAATCCTTAGCTTGGATGCTAAGGATATAGCAAAAAAGGAAAATCATAGAATCACAGGACTGGACAGGACCTTGAGAGGTCATCCAGTACAGTCCCCTGCACTCATGGCAGGACTAAGTATTACCTAGACGACTGGTCACCAACCGGTAGATCGTGATCAACTGGTCAATCCTGGGGCCTCTGCCAGCTGATAGTGATCTTTGGACACTAAAAGTCTGGCGGCGCAGCGGGGCTAAGGCAGGCTCCCTGCCTGCCCTGGCCCCACGCCACTCCCAGAAGCGTCTGGCATGTCTCTGCAGCCCCTGGTGGAGCCAGGCATGTCCATGCACTGCCGCTGCCCCTTCCCCCTGGCGCCAACTCCTTAGCTCCCATTGACTGGGAACTGTGGCCAATGGGAGCTGTGGGGGCAGCAGCGGGTCTCTGCGTGCTCCCCGTGTTCATGTCCACACCCCAACTCTGCCCCAGCTTGGAGCCCCCTTCTGTACCCAAACTCCCTCCCAGCACCGGCACCCCTCACCCCCCTCCCACACCGCAACCGCCTGCCCCAGCCCAGTGAAAGTGAGTGAGGGTGGGGGAGAGCGAGTGACGGAGAGATGGGGGAACGCAGTGAGTGGGGCAGGTCATCGGGGAAGGGGGGGTAGATCCTGGGTTGATCTTAAATTGAAAAAGTGATCTTGTGCGTAAAAAGGTTGAAGACCACTGATCTAGACCATCACTGACCGGTGCTTGTCTAACCTGCTCTTAAAAATTTCCAGTGATGGAGATGCCACAACCTCCCTAGGAAATTTATTCCAGTCTTAACCACCCTGACAGTTATGAAATTTTTCCTAATGTCCAACCTAAACCTTCCTTGCTGCAATTTAAGCCCATTGCTTCTTGTCCTATCTTCAGAGGTTAAGGAGAACAATTTTTCTCCCTCCTCCTTGTGACACCATTTAATATACTTGAAAACCGTTTTCATGTCCACTCTCAGTCTTCTCTTCTCCAGTCTAAACAAACACAGTTTTTTCAATTTTCCCTCACAGATCATGTTTTCTAGAACTTTAATAATTTTTGTTGCTCTTCTCTGGACTTTCTCCAATTTATCCAGATCTTTCCTAAAATGTAGCACCCAGAACTGGAAATACTACTTCAGTTGAAGCCTAATCAGCACAGAGCAGAGCAGAAGAATTACTTCTGGTTTCTTGCTTACAACAAAATCATAGAAATCATAGAATATAAGGGTTGGAAGGGACCCCAGAAGGTCATCTAGTCCAACCCCCTGCTCGAAGCAGGACCAATTCCCAGTCAAATCATCCCAGCCAGGGCTTTGTCAAGCCTGACCTTAAAAACCTCTAAGGAAGGATATTCTACCACCTCCCTAGGTAGAAATGTCAGCATGAAATTGTTTACAAATGTTATTAAAAGTTTTTCAGATGTAAAAATAACTGCTAAACAGCACTCAGATTCTATAAGTCAATTATAACTGAAATAGAGCAGAAATACACAATCAAAGAGAACATATGCAAGTTATCAACAGTCTAGACTCAACCTAATGGTGAATCAGTTACCTCATCAATTAGCAAAATGAGCTGACCTCTAATATCACTCTTGTCCCAATATTACATCTTGTTTGCAATGTTGCCAATTCTCCTGATTTCATCAGGAGTCTTGCAATATTTGGTGTTTTCTTAAAGTTCTGGAAGTCACCTGACTACACCAAAATAGCTTTCTTTTTTTGAGTTTCTAGATTTCATGGTTTTAAACATAAGCTTTGAAATATCAATGCTAAAGATTCAAACACCAGGAGGCAAAGAAAAAGAACTCAACATATATTATTTAAAAAGTTTCATGACTTCTTGGACTGCCTCATGATTTTTGGCACACTTAGGGTTGGCAGTTACATTTTAAAAGTCATAATGTTTATCTGCTTTCTAAAAAAAGCAGCTAAAGCAGGGTATCTGCTAAAGGAAAAGGTATCTATCACATGTTGAAGAGTGACAGAAATAGTACAGATTAGGAATATAAGAGTGAGCAAGATGTTAAATGACTCCTTGAAACAGTCAGCAAAAGCTCTCTGTGCCTTAGTTTCCCAATCTGTACCATGGGGATAACAGTACTGACCTGCATTGTAATGCGCTTTGAGATCTACTGATGAAAAGCACTATAAATGTTAGGTATTATTTGCCGTGTTGTAGCTGTGTTGGTCCCAGAATATTAGAGAGGCAAAGTGTCTCTCAGGTATTATTACTAATGAGCATATGTACATTGAGCTTTACGAAACATAGAATAAAACATATTTTTCCTTTATTAAAAAGTGTATCTTGCAGCAACGGAAAATACACAATAGTATTACTATTGTAAAATTATGTGTCTTGCCAAGGACCAGGACCCCACTGAGCTAGGCCCTATACAAACACAGAGCAAAAAGACATTCCCTGTCCCAAATTGTACATATTACTGCAGAATACTTTCCTATTTTTAAGAAACAAAGGCTGCCCCAGAAAACGGACAGTCTATAACACACATGCAGCGTTAAGCCACACGCCACACAGCGGATTAGCCCGCTGGTGTCGGCAAGACATTTACAGGCTGCCTCAGCCGCTGTCTTCAACTCGCCCCTTCAGGCTGATTGTGCATCCGATGAAGTGAGCTGTAGCCCACGAAAGCTCATGCTCAAATAAATTGGTTAGTCTCTAAGGTGCCACAAGTCCTCCTGTTCTTTTCGCCAATACTTTCTGTCACACACCAGCCCCTAAAACTGCCCCGCCCCCCCAGCCCCGCTCACTCACAGCTGAGGGGGGGGGTAATCATTTTAACGCAGTTTTGACGCCTGGGGGTGGGTTGTTGCTGGGGGTGGAGGTGTATCAAGGGGGGAGGCAGGACACCCCCGCCCTGAGCTGACGCCAGAAGAGACTGGCGCGGCGGGTCTGGGCGGCTTGGGGAAGCCTTGCCGCGGCGGGGTGAGGACTACGAGGGACTCCGAGCCGAGCGCGGCCGGCTGCGCGGGCGGGGGCTGGGCTAGCGCGTCCCTGCCCAGCTCGGTTTCCATCCGGGTTGCAGGGAGGAGCCTGGCTCGCCGACCCGAGCATGGCGCCGGCTGCTGCCGCCGCGGAGGGGAAGCCCGGGCTGGGGTCGCCCGTGGCGGGGGCGGGCCGTCACCCTGCAGCAGCCCAGGACAAGTTCTTCTTCATCAAAGGTGCAGCGAGCCGGGGGGGTGGGGTAAAGGCCCCACGTGGGGGCGCTGCTGCTCTGCCTAGTCCCCACAAGGGGGGGAAGATTCTCCCCCCCATCACAGCAATGGTGTGAGAAAGCCCCTTGTCTCCAGGGTGGGCAGTGGGGCTGGCTGGGGTGCTGCTGGCCACAGCCTGGGCTGTAACAAGAAGGTCCCAAGGATGCTGCTGCTTCTCCCCTCCCCAGCTGAGCTGAGTGCCCCACTCCTTGCCCTTTGCCTCCTTGGGGGATTTATGGGTTGCAGGAGGGGCCATCGCTGCTCTAGCAGGTGCTGTGGCTTCAGCCACATCTTGGTGCTGACAGCCTCTGCCCGCCCACCCCCATCTCTGAGGAGTGGTTCCCCTACACTGCTGTTGCTGCAGCCCCAGCGCCTCATTCCAGCCCCAAAGGGAGCAAGGGGACCATCCCTTTGGGTGGGACCTGCTTCTTCAGGTTGCTCAGAGGGGAGCAAGAGAGTGCAAGCCGGTTTGGAAATGCCTCTGAAGCTACTGCACTTGTCACAAAGCCATCACTCTGTATCTGACCTCTCAGGCCTCCTCCTCAAAGGAAACCTGCACAACAGCTTCAAAAGATGAGCCTGGGAGCTTAAATTCACACCTTTGCTGGACACTACAAAATATGGAGTGAACAGACACACTGGATTTATGCCTCATTACAACAACAATTTGTAACCCTCATAACCAGCCCATGACTGCAGAGTTGTTAATGGGCAACTTCACCTTGAATGATCCTTTGAAATATGTGTTAGCTATTTATGCTAAACAGTCTGTTCCATCTTATGTTTATCAGTGAAATTTGAGTACATTTCCCAGACCTGAAGAACATTGTGTAGTTCAAAAGCTTGTCTCTCTCACCCACACAAGTTGGTTCAATAAAAGATATTACCTCACCCACCTTGTCTCTCTGGAGCAACTGAAAGTTGCACTTCCCCTTCTTCCCAAGACCTGCAGAAGCCCCTCAGCTACCACCATGGGTATAGAAATGGTGCTCTATGCCACAACAGGAACAAAGCTGGAGAACAGCTGCTGAATGTGTCCTCATATATGGGCAGATTTCCAGTTGGTAATTTGAACTGATGAACACTGCAAGAAGCAGAGTTAAGTCTCCCCCTTGAAGAAAGGGTGCTGAAGTATATAGCCAGGGGATACATAGCTCTTGAGAGACTCACGCTGCTGTGGGGAGATACTGCTCAGAGAGCACTGTAAAGGAGAAGGACCTTACCTGGGAAAGCCTGGAGTCTGCTTGGTTTTATCTGACTTTCCTATAGATGAATGCAGTGTAGTTGTAGCTGTGTCAGTCCCAGAACATTAGAGAGACAAGGTGGCCGAGATAATATCTTTTATTGTACCAACTTCTGTTGGTGAGAGAAACAAGCTTTTGAACCACACAGACCTGACCAGAAGAAGAGTTCTGAGTGGCTCGAAATCTTCTCCCTCTCAACAACAGAAGTTGCCTTACCCATCTTTCCTATTGATGATCAGTCTCTACATGGATTTACTGGCCATGTGCCCTTTCTCTTCGCCAGGAGTGTGAAGTAGCAAATCAGCATTTTAATTTGCTGATATAAACTAATCATTGATCTTTAAAGTACTATATTATAAAACATTCCTTGTCATTCACTAGATTGAGAAAATGAGCAGTTTGACAGCTATTCCATTCCCTTAGGCAGCTGCTGATAGATCTGCACTTCTGATTTTTTTTTAATGTTTGAACATTATTTTTTTCTAGGAAATAAATTCATTATTTTAATTTCTTAAATTTTGTTGGCAGGTGGAATTTTTCTAGGTACTGTTGCTACTGCAGGAGTGATAGCTGGTTTTGGTACAACACTTGCTATGGCTAAAAAGAAAAACCCCAACTGGTTCGATAAGGTTTGTCTCTTTTAAAGTACTATACAACCATGCGAAAGTAAAAATAAAATTTTTGCTTCATAGTGTATTATTGCATGCTTATTTTGGCTATACTAATTGTTAATGGTATAGTAGTTTTATAACCAGGAGGCCTGATTTTGCATCAATGAAGTCAATGAGAGCAGGAGTTAATTCTAAGTTAGGCGTTAGTGTTCCTTACTGCTTTAGTGGCAGATCTGGGCTGGTTATAATAAAACCCATAAAAAGTTTATTCAGTCTGCTGTGATCATATTACTATAATCCAATGAAAAATATTAAATAAATTTATCTCAGTTCAGGGAGACTACACCTGTATTCCCCCTCTATGGTCAATTAAGGGCACAGACACTAGGCTTCTGGCTCTCCAGCCATTGTCTCTCTTGGGTGGAGACATGCATCTCTTACTTTTCTGACCGGGATATTTCCAGGCTGCACAGCTCCCTAATTAGACTATAAATGCACCAGCCAAGTCAGACTGTCTAAGCAGACCTGTTTGTTTTCTCTTCAGAGACTAATAACAATGTTACCTCAAAGCACTTTCTGTGCAAACTTATTTATTCTTAGGGTAAAAGCATTACAGAGAAAACATATTAAAAACAATAAAAGAACCTACATGCACACTAATAAGCTTACCAGAGATCAGCCTAACTCCAGCATGGGTTCTGGCAGGAGTTTAGTCCTTCAGATCCCACAAAGGATTCTTGTCTATGGTCACAAGTTTATAACAGCCTCAGCACAGAACTAGCACACTCATGAAAAGTTTAGTCCAGCCTCATAGTTCAGGCTGGTTTCCTGAGCAGGGCTCTTTACCTGCTTCAGGAAACCAGATCAATCGGTAGACAATGGGTTTTCCTCCTCAGGGCATAGCTTCAAATGCCCTCCCAAGTACCTCCTAGGAAGCCCACTTTGCACATACTGTCCCTTTGAAGTTCATAACATTTCCCCAAGGTATACATTAGTCATTACCCTAGAAAAGTTACATACAGTCCTACAACAACACAAACAATTCTATTTTTAATACAATGGGTCCTTATACTTAAAAAATTTAACTTAATTCACTAAGGTTTATCTGGGATATTGCAGGAAATTGCCCTCTGTCACAAAATTATTGAAACACAAAGCTTTTAAACAATACATTTGCAATTTAAAGCCCCGATTCTGCAAACATGGGTATACTTTACTTATGTGAGTGGTCCCATTGACAAGTTTAAAGTTAAGCACACACATTTTCAAGATTACAACCTATATGATTAAATGAATATCATGTAGATAAATATTCTGTCACAGATAAACCTAGTGTATGAATGATCACTGTTATAAATAAATATGCAGAAATCTGTTTTAGTTAGATGATACAGAGAAAAACATGGACATTTAAAATTAAAATGTTACTCCATCTTTAACTTGTCCCATGCCACCTAGGTATTACAACGCATGGTACATGTACTGGTCTGTGACTCACATGTATGTAACACTTGCAATAAGATAAATAAAAAATAGTGTTAGATCATTCAAAAAGCTTCTAAAAATATTCAAGTTGAGGACATTCTGTGTGTATAATTAATATACGTAGGGAATTTTAAAATAAAGATTATGTAAATACATAATATTGACCTAGTAGAACATCTGTGCCATAAACATTTAGACCGAGAAACCTGTAAATAATTCTGCATTTTTAACTGCAAGGACAAACCTAATGATGGGACTATATGTGCAAATATATCTAATCTTGGAACAGAACACAACTATTCAAGAAGAGTTTTTCCTTAGTCAGTTTTTCATTGAATGAGCATTTGTAAAATAAACACTTAAAATTGATCAAACACTAAAACTACTATAATATCTATTGCACCCAAGAGATACCTCACCCTCTAAATCCTTTTGATCTGACATACAAAATCGTATCATTTTATTCATTGTACTTTCCATTAAGTTTATCACAGCGTTTATTTTGTACCCTCAATATGTCTTCTTTTGGAGGAGGGAATATCTGAGATCCATCCTTCATCTTGCAAAACCCTACTTTAGGCTGGGACGCATCACTCTGTGGCTGTTCCATACTGATCCCATGTCACCTCTAATACTAGACTATCTAGCAAAAAATGCAAACGCCCTCTAATTTCAGATAGGTGAACAGTAAGATGCAGCATACACATTTTTTCTGTGAGTAATGTAACAATTCTTCTAAAGACAAACTAATAGAAGATAAATGATCAAAATCTAGATAATTTAAAATAAGAAAATAAACAGCAGGGTACTTTTAGTAGCAGAAAACCATCAGGGATCAGTTTTTTTAACATCCCATCCTCTCCAACAGTGAAAAATGTTTTTACAGTTTAGCACAGTGGTGGGCAACCTGCAGCCCGTGGGCCGCACGTTGCTCGTCAGGATAATCCGCTGGAGGGCTGCGAGACAGTTGTTTACATTGACTACTCGCAGGCATGGCCAATGGGAGCAGCGGGGAGCAGCAAAGCATGGCCGTTGGGAGGTGCGGGCGGCCACGCCTGCGGATGGTCAACGTCAGCAAAATGTCTCACAGCCTGCTAGCGGATTACCCTGACGAGGGGTTGCGTGTTGCCCACGCTGCAGGTTGCCCACCACTGGTTTAGCATAATTATTATTATGTTCAGAAGAGTCTTGTGCTACTAGAATACCTGGAAAGGTGTGATGTAGGTGAGGATTAAGGTACACTGGGTGAGATTTTTTGGGAAAGCTTGCAGAGTGCCTTCCTGCCTTATACCTGGCTTTAGCAAGTGATAAAAGATTTTGATGAATATTAAACTTCACTGGATTTAAAAATAAACAAGCCAGGTTAGTTGTAGAATGTATTTATACATTATTTTGTGGCAATATTGTATATTGTATTTCCTATTTATATGGATATTATATTTATGGATTTATATGTATATTGTATTTCCTATTTATATGGATATTATATTTATGGATTTATATGTATATTGTATTTCCTATGTATGGCCTATTTAGATTTGAAATATACACAAAATTACTTAGTCTACTTAGTGTAACAATGCCCAGATTTTTTAACCTTCAAAGCTGTCTTCAAAACTCATCTTTCTCTCTCAGCTTTTGGAGAGAGAAGGGTTTGAGGGATATAAAGTTATAGTATCAGTTATTATGTTTTGTTTTACTTAGTGTGTGTGAGTATAGTGTCATTGGCTTTTATACGTGTAACTATTTGTAATTAATTTTGTGACATTCAATTTTGTAAGATATATAGAAACTAAGCCAGTTGTCTCATTTTAAATATATTAAGAAGTAGGCACACTGTATAATAATGTAATTCCACAATTATATAAATCCTGTTTCAAATAGCACAGTTGGTTTCATTATGACTGGCTATTACTTTTTACCATCTTGTAATGATGTTTTAAAACAACTTTTTCCTGGACGTTACATTAACACCATTTCAGATCTGTATGCTCTTCACTGGCTGACCTGCCCTTCTACTCAATATGAAATTAATCTAGAGTGGCATTAAGATGACACTGAAGTGTATGTAGGTTGGACGTGGCACCAAGTGAAGTGAAGGATTTTCCTTTTTGGTTGAAACCTATATTTGCTGCTAGCCCTGCAACTGAATGAAAACAGTTTATCAGCAAACATCAGTGTCTACCAAGAACTAGAACCTTATAGAGCATAAAAAGGAAATGCTGCTTTTTGTCATGCTGATTGTGAGGATAGCTGGTGAACAGTTTCACAAGACTGAGGCTAGACTTTGAAAATGGTATAACTGTCAACAAAAGAATGGCTGAGGACTAGTCACCAAACCAGAAAAGTAGCTCTGTAGTAGCATTATTAATTTCATTTAGAATTGTATATTTTAGAGCATTGAACATTATCATTTGTAATAATACAACTTTTAAATGATATTATACAAAAGTAAAAGCATAACCATGAATAACTAGCTTTAAAGTTAAATGCAGTCATCATAGATGTAAAATGCATAGTTAAAATGAATAATGTTTTTATGCTTACAAAAGTGAGAGATTAACAGCAGGGGTAAGAGCCAGGCATGATGCAGGAAAGGACTGCTGTAAATAAGTAAGTAAGTAAAATCCGTTTATTCATGTCTGACTCTTGGTGAAACCATAGCAGAATTTTCAGAAGCCTTCTCAATCCATCACTAGCTTTGAGCGCTCAGCAGTTGACCTCCCAGTGATCTGCTGGACACCATTTATCCATCTCCTCGCTGGTCATACCCTATTACGATGACCTGGCACCATTCCTTACATGATGACTAGGGCCCTACCAAATTCACAGCCATGAAAAACATGTCACAGACTATGAAATCTGGTTTCCCACCGTGAAATCAGGTCTTTTGTGTGCCCTGTACTATACAGATTTCACAGGGGAGACCAGCGTTTCTCAAATTGGGGGTTCTGACCCAAAAGGAGTTGCAGGGGCGGGTCACAAGATTATTTGGGGGGGGTTCCTGGTAATACCAGTTTAGTTCTGCACTGACTTCAGAGCTGGGCGGCTGGAGAGCGGCAGCTGGTGGCTTGAGAGTGGCAGCTGGTGGCCGGGGGCCCAGCTCTGAAGGCAGCACCCCGGCAGCAGCAGCGTAGAAGTAAGGGTGGCAAAAACATACCATGCCACTCTTACTTCTGCGCTGCTGCCTTCAGAGCTGGGCGGCTGGAGAGCGGCAGCTGCTGACTGAGGGCCCAGCTCTTCAGGCAGCAGCGCAGAAGTAAGGGTGGCAATAACATACTATGTCATACTTACTTCTGCACTGCTGCTGCCGGCAGCTCTGCCTTCAGAGCTGGGCTCCGAGCTAGCAGCCGCCGCTCTCCAGCTGCTCAGTTCTGAAGGCAGCACCACCACCATCAGCAGTGCAGAAGTAAGGGTAGCAGTACTGCAGCCCGCCCCCCCAACTCATTTTTGGGGCAGGACCCCTACATTTAAAACACTGACATTTCAGATTTAAATAGCTGAAATCATGAAATTTATTATTTTTAAAATCCTATGACTGTGAAATTGACCAAAATGGACCATGAATTTGTAGGGCCCTAATGATGACTTTCTCAAGGTTATTTCCATCTCTATGCCTGACGTGACCACAGTACACAAGTTTGCACCTTTTGATTAGGAAAGTATGAGGCAAGGCCCCAGTCCTGCAGATACTTATGTAAATGCTTAACTTTACTCCCATGAATTGAAATAGGAATCAGTGTAACTACTCATGAGAGCAAAGTTAAGCATGTATGAAATACCTGGAGGACAAGCTCTGATAATGTACCTTAATTCTGACTTGCAACACCCCAAAGCAGAAACTGCCAGTTAAGAGATTTTTTTAAAATAAAATCCAGTGCCATTAAAGGACAAACTCAATTTCTTTTTCTTGTGATTTAGGTTCCAATCCTACAAATATTTGTGCATGCATTTAACTTAACTCACAGTGGGGTCAATCATGTCAGGTGCTGAGAAATCTGGCCCCAATCCAGCAAAGCAGTGAGCATGTGCTTAACTTTAAGCACCTTGAAGGCAATGGGGCTTCTCTGCAGACATAGAGAGCTGCTCACATGGAGACAATTGCAAGTTTGGGGCCTTTGTCCCTAATACATTTGAAAAAGGTACCTTCAACGGTAGCGTGTCTGTCCCCTGTCTTCTTCCCTCGCCCTCAATTTCCCCCCCCCCCCCCCCCAAAAAAAAAAAAAGAAGCAAAAATTTGGAACATAGATTTTGGGAATCAAGTCAGTGAATTCTGTTCCCTATTTTCCTGGCCTGTTTTTAAAAAGTGTTTTAGCAATTTATTTTTGTATTCAGAGAGGTATTTTCAAATCTTGGAGCTGTGATGAAGAGAAACGAATGTGTACTGACAATAAGTAACAAAGGTGTGAGTAAAACCCCATTCACTTAAAAGAGCAATACATAGCTATTTGTATGTTTTAATTAATGAAACATTTTTTCTATGCCATTGCATTGTGATCTCAGAAGCATTTCTCCTAGCAATTCATTCATCACTTCTCTTGAGGATTTAAATAGCTTGCCTGAACATCTTACGACAAAGATTTCTCTAAACACCACAATTTATTTGGATACTTAATACCCCCGAGGAGTCGGCTTGTGACTAAACTCTCTTGAACTACTGCCAATAAAGCCAGATCAGTTTCTTCGATTATCACTTTTTTTGGCGCAATGAAGCATTTAAATAGAATTAATTTTTGCCATCCCTTTTCACAAATAGCACTTGTGTCTCCCACTTAAAGATTCAATTAAGTGGATTTTTTTGGCATGGTTTTTCATGTTCAAAAGTAGAGAAATTCTCAGATTTTATATTATATTTGAAATATTTAGATAGGAAAAATGTCAGACAAAGAAAAGTTATAGAATTTCTAAAAGTAACAGAATCATTGTTATGAACATTCATTAGCTACTGTACAGAGATCATAGGACTTTTATATAAAGGACTTAGTCTGAATAATGATCACTGTAGTTTGTGTCTTTGTGCACATATATATATATATATACATACATATACACAATGCATGTATCCGTGCATGCCACTCAGATTTTAAACGATGTGCGCCCGTAATTCTAAGGTGAGAACTGAGCCAACAGTGTTTGAGTTGCCCCAAGTTTAATAGCATTTTGTTAATGGTTTCTACTCTTAAATTAGATTAGGCTATGTAAATAGACAGATTGCTATTGAATATATGCTTTGTGAACATATATTTCAGCTGGATAACCATGCTCAGAACTAAATCTTAGAAATTTAAAAAGTGAATGAAAACGGTTAATGATTGTCTCTGGGATTATTTAAATATATAGTTGTTTTATGATTCAAAGTTGAATGAAAAGTTTTTGATCCTATTCCAATGTCCAAATGTAGAGTGGTGGGCACTCTACATATGCTTAAATAGATAGAAATTAAATGCAGGAGGGCAAATAGCAGGATCTATATTAAAATTTTCAGGAAGGTTATTTAAAGATGACCTGCAAAAGGAAAATCTTGGGTTTGTGCACTTGGTTTTTCGCACTTTTTTATGATGTATAATAAAGGCTTAACCAATGGGTAGGGTGCGGTCAATTTAGATATTTTTTCTGCTGATTTACATTAGAAATGTCAGTAGTGTAAAATCTTGTTTTCTATGATTTTGCTGGAGTTGACATTGGAGAGCTAAAGAACTGGTGTGGGATTTTCTTACCCTAAAATTAAGGGTAAGGATGTTGATCCTTTAACAATGAGATCTTTTCTCACAACTGTTTGGCACATGTTTGAGTTAAGCAGGTATTAATGAAAACAAACAAAAACCTAGAATTTCTAAAATTTGTGATTAAAACTCCCTCTCTCAACTGCGCAGGGTTTATTTTACAGGTAGTTATGAAGACATCATCCTAGTTCATCATATCATCCATCACCATCAAGGGATTTATAAAGTATTCCAGGAAAAACAGGATAGATAAGACAGGAATTTGTAACAAACTTTTTTAGGGAAAAAAAATGAAACCACCACATACTTTCAAGTCTTCTGTATATATCATACAAGATCATAAACCTAATCTTTTTCCATGGCAGGTCATCTTTTGAAAGCAAAAATCCAAGAGCTATAAATGCTTTAAACAAGTTTGGAAATCAAGCTAATCCTGATACTTAGTTTTAACTCTAAGGTGCCACTAGTACTCCTTTTCTTTTTGCGAATACAGACTAACATGGCTGCTACTCTGATACATATTTCTCTTTGCTATTCTTTCGAATATATGAAAAAAACTGTTCTTTAAATTCTCTTGCAAATTCTTCTTTGTCAGGATTTCATATTTTTGATTAAATAATTTTGCAAATGAACCTATTTGTTTACACATTTACACTTCTAGTTACTATTTGTTACCTTCATACAGTAGTTTCATGCTCTTTAAAAATAAAATGGCAATTTCTGTTATACTCCCAGAATTTTACCTACCAACATAGTGTTTCCATGGAGAAGGCCTTACCTTGAGGATTCATTCCTTCTGTTTTTAATCAGTTCTTTCAGAATTCTGAGTACAAAACAAAATTACTCAAACAATTTTAAATAGTGAGTGCAGAAACTGGTTTATTTTATTGTGCAGGTTTGAATCTTAATATTTCTAGAATAGTTTTCTTTAACCTAAGGGCTAATTTACATACAGAATTATGTTCTTTGTCCTCTGTCCTGCAAGCACTTATGTATGTGCTTAACAGTCCCATTGGGTTCAGAGGGAAAACTCATGTATATACATTTAAGCACATAAAAGTGTTTCTAGAATCAGGGCCTGAATGGGAGCATTTTCAGGGTAGTAAACTTTGGAACTTACCAAGGTTTATCATTTTTATGTGGTCTGACCAAGAATTTTGCCTCATATAATAGTTAGCATACTAAAGTTTTAGAGTCCAATCCTGCAGTCCTTACCTGAACCTGAGTAGTTCCAATGAAGTCAGTATAAGTTTAACTGTTCCCTAGGGGTGTTCCACCCCCGCTCTGCCCAAGGCCCCCCCACTCCATCTCCCCCCCAAGGCCCCGACCTCGCACCGCTTCTTCCCGCCCAACTCCGCCATCTCCCCCGAGGCCCCACACTCATTCTGCCTCTTCCCGCCCCTGCTCTGCCCCCTCCCTGACGCCACTGCTGGCTGCTCTACACCCTCCTTCAAGTCCCTCCATGAGCCACCAAAGAGCTGTGGCTGGTGGGTGCTGAGTACCCACTATTTTTTTCCATGGGTGCTCCAACCTCAGAGCATCCAAGAAGTTGGTGCCTATGGTTACCACGCTGCGGTGGTATTTGGTTTACTGCAGTTACATTCTGTAGGTTACACGTATCCTACAGGAATTAAGTACAGTTAATCAGGTATCACAGTGTGATAACTAGGTAAATGTTGACTGGTCATTGTAAACTGTACTATGTACTCCTATATTACTAATAGTACATTAATATTAGGACAACACCCAAAGGCCTCAAATCACAACTGGGAACCTGTTTGGCTCAGCATGAAATGATTTTTCCAAAGAAAGATTTCTGTGTTATTAGGTTTGTCCACCCTGATGTATCGGAATTTTGACAAATGGTTAAAATGACTCAGCATGACCAGTACAGAGGCTGAACAGGGTTCTGCATTTGCCAGTCACTTGGTTCTTTGGAGAAATGAGATCCAAGCAGTGCCAGACAACATTAGTTGTTTGGGGGGGTTTGTTTTTTTTTAAAAAGCCCATTTTCAGAACTCCTTCAGGTGATGCTCCTCTCCCCCCACGCTCACATTAGCCCCTCTCTTTCTGAGTTACCTGCTCCACATGGGGCTGAAGGTCATCAGGGCTCTGCTGTTTCTCCAGCTTTCTCTTCTGTTACCCAGGGGGCCAGTGTGGAGGTCTGCAGATCTCCTGTGCGAGAGGGTATCAAGTCCAGAGATGAGTTTTAGAGCATTATTACACTCTGACTCCTGGTGATCAGGGGCTGTGAAGGTATTTCTGGGCCCTTCTGTTTTCCTGATTACTACTCAGTTACTGCATCTTCTGCCCCCAACCAGTCAGTCAGTCAGTCATTCATCCCCACATGGCAGCTGCATTAGGGTTCTTGCGTCTGCTACCCACATGTGCTATTAACAACTGCTAGGGCTGCTGCTGAGTCTCCTTCCTGGAGGATTAAGAGCAACTCATCCTGAGGAATTTTGTGGAGGGTTTTAGCCCAGCTCTTTGGGAATTGAGGGGGACAGGAAGGGATTGAACTAACCCCCTTGCTCTACCCTCTGCTGTTACTGTCAAATGCTGTTGAGTCTTTAGTTCAATAGTAGAGTTTGCTAAAGAGACAAATGCGTAGAGCAAACATTTTTCTTGTCTTAGATATTTTAAAATCCTTTTGTTACTGAACCTTGATCTTTTTATCTTGATTCTAGGGTATTACTGCCACAGCTGCATTACCAGAGAATGGTTCATCGCTGGCCTTACGAGCCTTGGGGTGGGGTTCACTGTATGCCTGGTGTGGAGTTGGGCTGATCAGTTTTGCCATCTGGAAGGCTTTGGGAGTTCACAGTGTGAGTACACGCATCATTTCCTCACAAATTGTGATCTAGGTATGGAATGTCTTTCATGGGTCCTCCATACCACTTGAGCCCTACAGAGTGCCATCTGCAGAGGTGTATGCTGAGGGAGAATGGCTGCTCAGTGGCCTCTGTGCACCGGAAAGCGGGGGCTTCATACTATCGACAAATAGGCTCTTTTGGAAGGGGCTGTTGTGGGTGATGTGGGAGAGGAACGATTCACACCATACTTATATGAACCAGTATTCTAGAGCCTTCACATAGGGCCACTATTCCAGCCGTAAGACTAGAATAGTAGCCACAATTTTTCTCTGTTAGGGGGTGTGAATTCCAAGTTATCCCTTGCTTAGCTCCCCATACAGTCTGAGTTTTGCCTTTAGCACAATCTGTTTATTTTCAGCAGCCTTCAGCCATGAAGTGTCCAAGTTTTGCATTAGTACTTCAGCAACATAAGAGCCATCTGTTTTTATTTCAGATATCAATTTCCTCACTGGTGTGTTTCTGTAGAGAGTAAGGGGACAGTGGATGGAGGTTTCATGTGAAATAGAAGGAGGGGGAATCTTGTGATGTCATCAGTCAGGACCAAGGAGCTAGGGAAACATCCTTACACCGCAAGGAGTTCAAGTTATCTTCACACAGAGATGCTTATGCTCCAGTGCCACATAGTATTGAATATGAACAGTAAAGATCATTCAAGCATTTAGTTTTGTCCCTGATAGTGACCCATGCTCCTTGCTACAGAGGGAGGCGAAAAACCCGTAGGGTCTCTGCAAATCTGACCTGGGGGGAATCTGCCATCAGGGCTCCCTGTGACTGCAGATTTGGTGGAGCTGTCTGCTTCCCAAGCTGGAATGTTAATGAGTAGATTATGTTCTTGGCTACTTGAACAAACTACATAAATCTCCATAGCCAGCAAGAACTTCCCTCTTAGTTCCCAAAATGAAAAAAACCTAAGCATACTCCAGCCTGATATTTTCCTTCTTAAGCAACACCCCTATCTCCACACCTTCCTCTGGCCCCACTGTGAATTACCTCATAACCCTTCTCCTAGTAAGTCATGTGTCATGGTCCTACTTCCCCTGGCATTTTTCCTAGCAGAACATTTGGCCCCAAAATGTAGTGTTCTGCACACACACACACACACTCACAATATTCTTAATAGGAACAAGTGAAGGGAGGCAGAGCTTTCAGTTAGGACATGAGACAAATGCAAAGCAATCTTGTTTAAACTCAAACACTTTATCAGGCTGCAGGGGGTACAATGTAGGAAAGAGAATGGGGACACCCAGTTATCTCCTTTACATGCTGAGCTCCAGAACGTCACTCAGCAGCCAAAATGGTGCTTTCCACAGTATATTGCTGATTCTTATTTCCATTCAGTCAGAGCACTTCAGGTGGTGCCAAAGGATGGCACGATTTGTCTCTAGTCAGTAATTTCTGATAATTCTGTTTTATTGAGCTTAGTTTGTATTTTCCTGGGAAGTACAGATCTACCCTGACACTGGCCCAATAGCCTACCTGCCCCCCACTGATGTATATTATTCTGTTAGCTTTTTAAAATCTTCAGATTTTAGAGAAATTGGCATATCCCACATCTGATAATGTGAATTAGCACTGATTATTGGGTGAGTCTCACCCACATGCTCAGGGTCTGACTGATCATCATATTTGGGGTCAGGAAGGAATTTCCCCCCAGGTCAGATTTACAGAGACCCTATGGGTTTTTTGCCTTCCTCTGCAGCAAGGGGCATGGGTCACTTGCAGGTTTGAACTAGAGTAAATTGTGGATTCTCTGTAACGTGAAGTCTTTAAATCAAGATTTGAGGACTTCAGAGGTTATGGGCCTACAAGAGGAGTGAGTGGTGAGGTTCTGTGGCCTGCAATATGTAGGAGATCAGACTAGATGATCATGATTGTGCCTTCTTGCATTAAAGTCTGAGTCTTTTGCACAATCAAAAATTGCAGTTTTATACTAACTATTGTCATGTGTTTGTTTCTCCTCTCCTGATCTTATCATGTACCTACTGAACTGTAAATGTTTAAAGTCCCTACAGGTACAAAACCCAAAGTTTACTATAAATGAAAAATTTTCTAATCAAACAAAGAATTTCCTCTGAATACAAGTAATATTTCTGAGGCAAGTCATCTTTTTGTATTGTTGCTGGTGTTTTTTTGACCAGCCCTTTAACATAATACACAGAAGCAAGGGTTGAATATCAAAATAGCGTCATCTAGAGTTTAGACATTACTTCCCAGAGGTAGCTCCCAAGCGTCCTAAGAGCTATCTCTGGGAACTCACATTGCAACATTGCTGTCATTCCCTTCGTTTTAGTTTTGCGTGTGTTAGACATAAACATTTTGACCAGGAGTTGCTGATATATATTTTTTTCCTGTATCCAGGGAAACAAGTGCATGCTTTTTGGAAAGTTATCAATTGCTATCATGTGAGCAGAAGTACAGACCTACAAAATGGCCTGTTAAAAATATGTTGGCTTGTTTAACGTATAGATGTGGAATGATGAAGTACCAGGCAAAAATCAACTTTGATGGAAATGCTGTCTACTAACAGTTACTTTTAAGAGTGAACTTAAGTTCCTTTGCACATAAAACTGTTAAAGCTACAATAGCGATTATAGTTTGTACCCCGAGGTCAACATTTTGAAACCTGGGTGCCTAAGGTTAGATTCCTACATGCATACTCAGACACCTAAATAAAAAGGTACCTTCAGCTCCCATTGGCTTCATTAGTAACTGTGACACTCAGACGTTAGGGCTTATGGACTGCATTGATCTGGCCCTGGTAGCAATGTACCTGCCATAAAACTATTCTAATTTGTTCGTGCAAAAATATGTGAAGGGAAGTGATGAGTGTGTAATGCAACTTGTCTACCACATGCCTGGAAGTAAAGCCCTGCAGTGGGACTGGGATCCTGCAGGTCCCCCAGGACCTGCTGCCATAATAGCAGGAGTGGGATAAAAATGCAACAAACAATGCAGGAGTGGGTGAGAGTGGGTATTGCACTGCGGGATGGAATTGTCATTAAGAAAACTACCCCGTGCTGGGCTCTACCTGGAAGTGTAAAATTAGAAACAATGTAGGAAGTTACAATATTTAAGAGCTATTTAAGGGTTAACAGGTGGATGAAGGAAAGGAGACTCAGTGATACTCTTTTATAAGAGCAGTGAAACTTGAAACTTGGCAGAATTGGTATAATTAAGGGTAGAAATGATGCAAGCAGTTATTGTGATCTATTGTAGTGCACAGCTATGAAGGCAGAGGCATTTATTAGCCTGGGTTGTTATATTTATTTGTCAAACATCAAGGTTGCACTTCCGTGCAAAACAAAATCTTCCCTAGGAGACTTCTGAAGAGCAAGAGGACATTTGTCTAACAGTCACCATCTAAGGATAAAAAGAAAAGGAGTACTTGTGGCACCTTAGAGACTAACCAATTTATTTGAGCATGAGCTTTCGTGAGCTACAGCTCACTTCATCAGATGCATGAGCTCACGAAAGCTCATGCTCAAATAAATTGGTTAGTCTCTAAGGTGCCACAAGTACTCCTTTTCTTTTTGCGAATACAGACTAACACGGCTGTTCCTCTGAAACCTGTCATCTAAGGATAGTGCCATCTAACGACAGAACTGGAGAGAACATCTCTGATGTGTTTGCATTGTGCATTGCACCACAGCTACATCTGCTGGCAGGAGATAAAATAAGCACACTTAAAAAATGACATTTCACAAACATTTTAGTTTTACTTGCTGGGATTCTTTTTATATGTTTACACAAAAAGTGATTTCATACATGTTGACCTTTAGTATTTTGTGTTTTGTAGTGATTTATTTGATCAAATATTGTAGTAATGGTAGGATAGTACTAGTATTGACAGTGGTTCGTATTCCTTGAATAACTGCCAAAGAAACTTGATCATCACTTTCAGCATCTTTACTAGTTCAGTACTGTTTCTTCTGAACACGTTACCAGATGTATTGAATTGTGTGATGGGTACAGGTGTCTGTTATGGTCAGGTTTATGATCATTTAATGCATTGCATCACCTACAGAAAGTCAGAATTTAAAGTAATGAAAAAAATCTAGCACATTTACTTCTACATTTTATACTACAGTGGACCCTTGCTAGAGTGCATATCACTATAGCATGGATTCACATATAGCGCGATCGCGGCAATGGATCCCAAATTTAAATATTTAAATTGGGATCCAGGGTAACACGGCCCCGGCTATAACGTGGTCCCCGTGTTAACGCAATACTGTGCATGGATCCCAAACCCCACGTTCTAGTGAGGGTCCGGTGTATAACTTTTCCAGTAATTTGTTTTCATTAATGTGTTTATGTGGTTCAGAAGCAGCTGCAAAGCATTTGTGGTGACGTTTCTTTACTGACTTAAGAACAACTAAAGCTAGGACCTATTCTGGATTTTATATCCTTAAGCCTCCTGTAACAAGAATGTACACCACCACAACTTGTGCCTGCTGTAGGAGCAACCACAGAATTGTTATTGTCCATTTCTAATATTGCAACTGTATGCTGGTGCCCTAGTCACCAGCTGGGGACAGTCAGCCATGCCCATCCTAGGTTTTTGTCCCTTTCTTTAGGGCTCTAATTATGGAAGGAATAAAGGAAGGGAGGGAGGGAGGGAGGAAGGAAGGAATATCACAAACAGTCCGGTGGGAGGTCAAACAGGGATCCTCTGGCAGGTACCAGCTAGGACCCTTTCTAACCCGTGGGGCCTCCACAGGGCTTAGCTGCCTGCAGCCTTCTGCTCTGGTTACCAGAGTATATCCTCTCTCCTGGTTCCCCCCTAGCCCCTCATGGAGCTCAACTCTCCTTTATATTATCTAGCTGAGAGTATGGGCCAGTCTTGAGGTGCTGACCTGGGCTGCCTTCCATATAATGATTCAAAAGAAGAGAAGCCCAAAGAAGACTGCAGGACTTCTCTGATCACAAACCACAGATAGGGTAACATCTTA